TAACAAGAGAGGTTTTAGGCTTAATTACAGTTGTAAGTTGAGGACGACATGTATTGGTAAGGCCACACTTGGAATACGGCATCCAGTTTTGGTCACCACGATGTAAAAAAATGTGGAGACTCTGGAAAGAGTGCAGAGAAGAGCAACAAAGAGGATTAGGGGACTGGAGGCTAAAGCATATGAAGAATGGTTGCTAGAACTGGGTATGTCTGATGAAAAGAAGGACCAGGGGAGACATGATAGCAGTCTTCCAATATCTCAGGGGCTGCCCCAAAGAAGATGGGGTCAAACTATTCTCCAAGGCACCTGAGTGTAGAACAAGAAGCAATGGGTGGAAACTAATCAAGGGGAGAAGCAACTTAGAACTAAGGAGAAATTTCCTGACAATGAGAACAGTTAAATCAGTGGAACAGAATTTGCCTCCAGAAGTTGTTGATGCTCCAACACTGGAGGTTTTTAAGATGATGTTGGATAACCATTTGTCTGAAGTGATGTACGGTTTCCTGCCTAAGCAGAGGGTTGGACAAGAAGACCTCCAAGGTCCCTTCCAACTCTGTTATTCTATTCTATTCCATGGCCTAATCCATCTTTTTTTCATCCCGGAGGTTCTCAAAACTGGTGGATTACCAAGACCAAAATTCCCAGCAAGGACCAAGCTGCCTGGGTAACTCTGGGAGTGGATACCCATAGATCTGGGCTCTTGTGACCAAGGAGGGAAGCCTTACAGCAAGGAGTAGATGGATGATATATATATTTAAAGGCGGGTTCTTTTGTAAAATCTTCCATCCTTGGCCAAGCCAAACCTTAACTCATTGCAGACCCTTATACTAAAAAAAGCATTGAATTCACAGGCTTCAGAATAGAACTGAAAGAGCATACTTTTGTATGTGTGTCTCCCTGAGTGTGTGTGTGTGTGGTTTTGTGTGTGTGTGTGTATACAGACATATACCTTTAAAAGTCACTATTGTCATTCTTTTGGCATCCCCCCCCCCCCGCCATGTAATTCTCCTCCGCTGGCGCCTCTGGGAATGTTTGACGCCCACCATTGTTCCTGGCAATTTGAGATGTGCCAGTCCTCATCCCGCCTCCCTTCTTCGTCCAGCCTTCATCTGCAGCTTGAAATCCAAAGGTGTCATTACAATTTCAAAGGCCTCGCTTGAACAGCCATTTAGCACTTGCCACTCACAAAGGCAGCAGTGAATAATGATCCGGTTGGCCGGAGGCAGGCGGGTGAGATTCAGGCACCGAACACCTTAGAAGATCTGCAAACCATATTATCTATCTATCTATCATCAATCAATCTATCTATCTATCTATCTATCTATCTATCTATCTATCTATCTATCTATCTATCTATNCACTCGAATAGTATGACTGTTGTGCTTTTTTAATGATGTATTGTCTTCATGTTTGTAACTTGTTTGTCCTTCCCTCCCCCTGAATTGTGAGCCGCCCTGAGTCCCCTCAGGGAAAAGGGCGGCATACAAATAAAGTATCTATCTATCTAAGTATCTATCTATGAAGGAAGCTTCATTTTTAATATAATGTTGTTGTTCTTTTGGCTTTAGATATGTGGGAGACATGTTGGCTTGGCTGCATCAGGCTACTGCTTCCGAAAAAGAGCACCTGGAGGCTCTCTTGAAACACATAACCACAGAAGGTATTGCAGAAAGCCAAGAATTGTGGGTTTGGGATCTTCCGAGGCAGGAGTCTGAGGAGGGGAATTTCATCTGGGGTTTTTTTGTCCTAAAGATTACATATGGGGTGAAGCTATGTGCTGCTGGAAGAATGTGGAATCTTTACCACTTTAGGAGAAGCACTGTTTTGGGGGCAAGACAGTGGCTGCATTTCTTTTTTTCTAAATGACAGGGATTAACATTCCTATTTTTAATGTGCACTGCTTTTATTTTCAGGAGTGGAAGAAAATATGCAAGAAATAGTTGGGCACATCACAGAAGGGGTTTGCCGGCCACTCAAGGTGAAATGTTTGGTTTTATGAAAGCCCTTGGTATTAAAACTGCATTGGCCCCGTATGTTAAGAAGCAAGGAACAAAAAAGCAGTTTACAAATAATAGCATATTTACTTGCATAAAAAGGAATTTTACTGATTGCTTATTTCCCAAGGAGAATGCATCTTTTATTATTATGTGAAACAAAATTGAATAATGAATGTGCAGTATTTAAAAGGAATACTGTAATCTTAAAATTGTACATTATTTTTTCTTGAAGAGGAAGTGTGTATTTCAACAGTATGTTCTTAAAATGTTTCTTTAGGTTCGAATTGAACAGGTGATTATAGCTGAACCTGGTGCAGTCCTTCTGTATAAAATTTCTAATCTTCTCAAATTTTATCATCACACCATTAGGTAAGCAAACTTTTAAAAGATTGTTTTGGGAAGAATTGGTTGTGTTCAAGGGTTCCATTGTAGTATAACAAAGTGCCCCTATACTGCAATGTAATATCTAGCATTGAGAAATGTTGTTACATAGCTTGATGCCATCAGCACTTAGCAGTTTCTGATCATATTTAAACAGTATCAGTGACAATATTGAACTTTATGGAACCTCAGTGGATAATCCCATTACATACCTCACTGTTGCCATATATTTCCATCTCCCATTGAATTGGAGCAGAGTTAGTTGCTCCTGGTTCGGATTGGTTCTGTTGAACCAGTAGTGGTTATTGGGCAGGGGTCGCCGAACAAATAGTGACAGCTGGCTCACCACACCCCTGAACTGGCCCGCTTAGACACTCGCCCTGCCTTCCGTTTTCGTGCTTTCGGGTGGAGCAGAGGACCACACGGCTTCATCAAATTCCTGCAATGGGTAATTTGAGCGGTGGCAATGAGAGGCGCCCGGTCAAGCAGGCAGTGGAGCATAGAGCCAGGATGTCGTGCAGGGCCCGCTTCCCTCCACCCAAAGGCAGGAAAACGGAATGCAATAGGAGGAACCCGGATTAGGGTGGGGGCGTCAGAACCCTCTGCATGCTGCTGAGGGCAGCTTGTGGTAGCCAGAGTGCAAGCCCCTCTGCTTTCCCCCTCCCTTGCCTCACTACGCCTTCCTGTTTGTGACCCCTCAGTCTAGACGCACTGCGGGGAGGCGAGGTGAGCGGAATTTCGGGCTGGCGGCGGAGACAATGAACAGTGGCTAAAGCGAGCAAGAGCTCAACCCAGCCAAGTCGAACTTGTAAGAGGAAGAGGTACCTGCCTGAAAAGGAGAGGCGGTGGTTGAATTGGCTGGGGCATAGAGGAGGCCACCTTGAATTCTGGAGGAA